AGGCTGGGTTTAGGGGTTTATAGGGCTTTATAGGGCTTATAGGGTTTATAGGGTTTATAAGGTTTTAGGGTTTAGGGGTGTAGAGTTTAGGGGTTTGGGGTTTAGGGGTGTAGGGGTGTAGGGGTTTAGGGGCTTAGGGGTTGAGGGTTTAGGGGTTTAGGGTTTAGGGGTTTACGGTTTAGGGGTTTAGGGTTTAGGGTTTAGGATTTAGGGTTTTGGCTTTAGGGCTTTGGGTTAACATAGGATACCGTGTGAAGGGTCTTGAAGGGCTTTATCTGGGTTCACGATAGCAGCTAAAGCACTCTAACTCCTAACGCTTTCCCGCTAAACTGTAAACACCAAGAACCCTAAGTCACCGCCCTGTGTGCCTATGCGGCGGAATGACAGGTTTCGACAGTAGGAATGTCCACTATGACTTGGGGAAGTATCCCCCCCATAGCAGTACCTAGGACCCTTGGGATGATCTACTTCGGCTATAGGGCTGACGATAGAGAGGCAATGCCCTTTGCGGTTTAGGGGTTTAGGGTTTAGGATAAACCCTGGATACTGCTAACAGTTGAGTAATATTCATGATATGGATGTATAAGGCCCTTAATAGTAGCCCTCTTATAGACTGTTACTGTATGGGGGGCAGTACCCAAGATAAGCCCTTCGAAACCTTAGAGTCCCTAAACCCTAAACCCTGCACCCTAAACCCGAAACCCTAAACCCTAAACCCTTTTGAAAGCCAAGGCCAAGAGCTTGGGGTTCTGGCGCCTCCCAGACGAGAGCTTGGGAAGTCTTGTGGATCAACTGCTGGGGGCTAAACCTGGACCAAGCTGCTGGGTGTCACATGTTTAGGGTTTAAGGCTTATAGGGTTTAGGGGTTAAAGGGTTGTGTAGAGGTTTGGAATAGATTTCCTGTGCGCGTTAAGTTGTTTTTTGCTGCGCAGGGTTTTAACGTGTGTGTTTTCGGGGTTTAGGTTTAAGCAGCTTCATTCAACTTAGTCATGGTAGGAGCAGATCATAGGGATATTCCGTCGTGTGTAAACTTAGACGAAAACCCTTGACAAGATTGGAGGTTACGCCTTGCAGCAGTGGGCTGCAGAGTGGACGGAGACTTGGAAGCAAACAGAGCGAGGGTGCCAAAATTGAAATATCTTTGAAGGGGACTGTGCAAACCCCGCTCTGCACGATGGAGGTTCTTAGGTTCCTTTGGCCTATCCAGCAGACGTGGTAGTTTGCTGCAGTAGGGCAAGACTTGTGCCAGAGGAAAGCATCGGCTCTAGCAACCCCAACAGCGGCACCATTTGCGAAAGCAGTCGCCGAGAGCTTAGGACACGACGGTGGCCAGAAATGGAAAGTCTGATAACTCACTCGCAGCCAGGCTGAACAGCAAGGATATCGCTGTGTCCGTAGAAACTCATCGTTTCGCCCCTGAAGTTGACATGGACGTTGACATGTCAAGCGCACCACGAAGCTTCCAAAAGCCTCACTCCATCGTCCCGGATTGGCGTGGCCATTTTGTGAGCCCCAACTATTTCCGATGCTGGAACATTGGTATCCACTTTGTCGTTTTCGGTCTTTCTGCGGCCTATGCGTCGGACCTCGTCATCGACAAGTATCCGGATGCCGTAACTTATCTCCATTTGCCCCCCCCTTGTGTTTATAGAAGCATTGTTTCGATTTAGATTTCAGATCATTTCAGGATTGGAGGGTTCAGGCTATGGTTGTTTGGGGCTTGGGAGTTCTTCGAACTGCCCCCAAACTCTTCAGCAGCTCGCCATCTCAAGTGGAAGCCGGCTACAGTCGTGCAGTATCCTAAACCCTGACCGCCCTAGCCTCCAGAATATCGTGTCGGCCGCCTTAAGTGGCTCATCCCCAAAAGGGAATCAACAAAAAGCCTCAGCGACTTCTTATGATCGGCGTCCAAGAGCTTCCTGGAGACTCAGAGTCACACACCTCTGAGACAGCAAGTAACGGGTTTTGGGTTTAGGGTTCGAGTAACATAAATCCAGCATGAACAGGACTTCGTTTGGGAGATTAATGTTGGCTCTCCGTTATTTCCCTGACCATGCAACTGCGAGTCTAGATATGGACATTGATCCAAGTTACTTTAGGTCTGCCTCGGGCGGGTATTCCTAACCCCCACCTGAAACCCAACCATCCGTGAAGCCCGGCCGTTGCGGGTTTTTTGGGCTCTAATGGTTTCGGGCTCGGGGTTTGAATGGTTCCGGGATTAGGGTTTTCATGGCATTGGGTTTAGAGTGCTACTGGTTAAGAGTTGAGGCTTCTGAAGGTTCCGAGTTTTTGGGCTCTAGTGGCTCAGGGTTTAGGGCTTCGGGCTCTAATGACTCTAATGGTTATAGGGTTTAGAACTCTAACGGGTTAGGGCATTGGGTTCTTGTCTTTTCATGGGTATCGGTATAGGGTTTAGAGTAATCTCGTTGACCTTAACAAAATGCATCCTTGAACCTGTTGCCTTAGACTAAGAATACGTCTCAAACCCAATGCCCTACACATCCCGCAACCCAGCCTTAAAGCCAACAGCATCCCTCAACCCTAAACCTTACACCCTAACCCGGAGCAGTTGGAGATCATGCTCAGGTCAAGCTTTTCAGTTGGCCGATCTGGTTTGCGCGCTTGGGTGGAATGGCCACTTCCATTTGGTCAGCAACTCGATCTGCAACCCTAAACCCCTAAACCCCAAACCCTATAAACCCCTAAACCCCAAACCCCTGAACCCTATCTGAAGAGATCAATGAGCACTGCCCATCGCGCCTCGTCGCTGTTTTCCTTGATCAGAAAAGGCCTGTCGTCGGTCGAATCCTGTAATACGAAAGCTGAATGACATGTTTTTGGATAGTGCTGAATGAGCGGAGGAGCTTGAAAGTTCGCACTCCCCCTGTGCTATGC